GGCAAACACAGCCCTCCAGATGTTTTGGGACTACAATTCCCATCATCCCTGACCACTGGTCCTGTTAGCTAGGGATCATGGGAGTTGTAGTCCCAAAACATCTGGAGGGCTGAGTTTGCCTATGCCTGGCCTAGAGGTAGTGTGGCTATTTTTAAACACAGCTTCATTCAGGAAATCTATGCCATAACCAGGACCTTGAAAATAGCAAATTCCTTTGAAATGCACCAATGTGTACATTTACGGTACAAGTCGTCTAACTCAGAAGTAATAGAGTTCAGGGGTGCTGCTCTCAAGGAAGCAGGTATAGGATTGTAGCCTTACAGTACAAATTTGGAATCCTAGAACTGTAGAGTTGGAAGGACTACAATTCCCATCATCAATAGCTAACAGGACCAGTAGTCAGGGGTGGTGGGAATTGTAGTCCCAAACATCTGGAGGGCCAGAGTTTGCCTATGCCTGACCTAGTCCAACTCCCTGAGAAGTAATGTCTACTGAGAAGTAAGTCCTATTGAATTCAGTGGGTCTTACTACCAGGAAAGCAGGTTTGGATTACTGCAGTCATAACCCCGCTTACCTGGGAGTAAGCTCCACTGAGATCAGAAGGACTTGTTTGCAAGTAGACATGACTGGGATCACACTATGAGACTGGAATTCTAAGCCTACTTACACGGGAGTAAATCCCATTTAATTCAGTGGGATAGTAGATTATGGCTTGCGCCGTAAATGCACATGGAATGGAATTTACTCTGAAGTTTCCTCGATGTCTTCAGACTTCTCTTTTATGAACGTGAGCTGGTTAAATGGAATAGCTCTGAAAGGGGGCATACACTCCCACTCAGAGAAAGATCTCCCCCTTTAAACTGTCAGCAGAGGATATGAGCGTCCATTTAGCAGTAGATATTGTGGTTTTGTGTTTAAAAAGCATTCACACAGGAAACAGTGCAAACTGGTCAGGTTGGCATTAGAGTTTCCACAAAAAAGAGGGTAATGTCAAACCATGTGATCAAGGAAAAAATGGTAATATATTGGCTATGCACAGATAGGTGGCAAATAAATAGATACACACAGAGAGAGATACAATAGATACAAACAGAGCCAGTTTTCTGATCTCATTTGAATAGGTGCTAATGCAGCTCCCTAATTTGCATGTGATGGTATCAGGTCACAGGACAGCATTAAGGGACTCTCCCCACCTACCTCCAGAAACCTGATACTTTCCCACATGGAAAACCCATGACATCACCCCACCCCTGGGAGGATGCAAAATAGGAAGTTGAAAGCCAGATAATACTGTGCAATATCAGAAATCAGAGCCAATTGCAAAAGAGGTATCTCATGCTAACCAGCCAGTATCTCCCTGTCCCTGGGTCTTCCTGACCCCATTATATGCCTGGTGAGATGAACACAAAACAAACCCTTGAATGTAGCGTGGCTTATGCTTTTCGGAATGACTGCTCTAGCAGGAGAATGAAAACAACAGAGGGGCTTTTGTAGCACTTTAAATCCTAATTGATATGCAGAATGAGCCTATGCCTGTTTACTTGCAATGCTGTGCTCAATGGGGATTTAGTAAGTGTGTTTATCATGTGCTGCCTTATCCAGGCACAAGGGACACGGGTGGCGCTGTGGTCTAAACCACTGAGCCTCTTGGGCTTGCCGATCAGAAGGGCGGCGGTTCGAATCCCCATGCCGGAATGAGCTCCTGTTGCTCGGTCCCTGCTCCTGCCAACCTAGCAGTTTCAAAAGCATACCAGTGCAAGTAGATAAATAGGTACCGCTGTGGCGGGAAGGTAAATGGCATTTCTGTGCGCTCTGGCTTCCCTCACGGTGTCCCGTTGCACCAGAAGCGGTTTAGTTATGCTGGCCACATGACCCGGAAAGTTGTCTGAGGACAAACGCTGGCTCCCTTGGCCTGAAAGCGATATGAGCGCCACAACCCCATAGTCACCTTTGACTGGACTTAACTGTCCAGGGGTCCTTTACGTTTACCTACCTAGATGGGAGCCCATTTCATCAGATGCGTGAAGCATTTCTAAAGGGACCCCTGACCATTAGGTCCAGTCATGACCGACTCTGGGGTTGCGGCGTTCATCTTGCTTTACTGGCCGAGGGAGCCAGCATACAGCTTCCGGGTTATATGGCCAGCATGACTAAGCCGCTTCTGGCGAACCAGAGCAGCACATGGAAACGCCGTTTACCTTCCCACCAGAGCGGTACCTATTTATCTACTTGCACTTTGACGTGCTTTTGAACTGCTAGGTTGGCAGGAGCAGGGACCGAGCAACGGGAGCTCACCCCGTCGCGGGGATTCGAACCGCCGACCTTCTGATCGGCAAGTCCTAGGCTCTGTGGTTTAACGCACAGTGCCACCCACATTTCTACTTTGCTGATATATCCATGCACAGGTACCATATGTGAGAGAACTTGCGCTTGAATGCTCTGTGTCTGAGTGTTGTTGTGTTTTGATTTGAGCTTTCCCCTGGCTCTTTAAAGCTGAATCAGAGCAAATGTCAGTTTGGGATTTCCACTGATTGAAGTTTGCTCCAATTGAGCTTTAAAGAGCAGGTCTTTGTGGGGAGAGCTCCGGAGGAAAAAATAAAGGGTGCTCAGACACAAACTCTGAGTGTGTATGTGATTCAGAGAGCTAGAAACTATGAAAGGCAACCAGTACAAGTTGCTGTCACTGCTAAGCAAAGCTCAAATGCATCTTCTGGCTAGCTCAATTGGTTAGAGCGTGGTGCTGATAATACCAAGGTTGCAGGTTCGATCCCCACACGGAACAGCTGCATTACAGGGGATTGGACTAGATTATCCTCAGGGACCCTTCCAACTCTACGATTCTGTGGTCTCTCCAAACTGGCTGAACATAGCTGTCAACGTTTCCCTTTTTTAAAAGGGAAATTCCCTTATTCCAAATAGGATTCCTTGCAAGAAAAGGGGAAAGTTGACAGCTATGTGGCTGAATAGGCAGTAAAACGGCAAAAATCCAATTCAACACCGGCAAGCATAAAGGGGTGGGGGAGGGAAATCTAATTTCACAAAATACAGTTATGGTGGTGATGACCACAAACAAGACCTTGAGGTATATGGAATTATGCACAGTATAGAGAAAGTGGATGGGCCTCTCTCAGAACACTAGAACCCAAAGGCTAAATGTTAGATGAAACAGGACGCCGAGTGCTTCCTTCACACAGTGCATAGCTATAGTATGGAAAAATGCTACCCCAAGAGGCAGGGATGGCCACCAACCTGGATGGCTATAAAAGATGACTAGCCAAATTCATGGAGAATGGAGTTATCCATGGCTACTAGTCATGATGGTTATGTTCTACCTCTGATGTGGGGGACAGCATGCCTCCAAAATCACAAGGAGCTGCACTTGAGCTCAGGGGTCTGGCTTGCGGGTTTCCCCCCAGGCATCTGGTTAGCTGCTGAGAGAACAGGATGCTGGACTAGACGGGTCATTGGTCTGATCCTGCAGAGCTCTTCTTATGTATACAAGACACATACCGTGGCCATTTACAACAGCAGCAAGTAGCACTGACAAGACTCTGCTGGGTACCATATTTTTCGCTCTATAAAACGCACCAGAACATAAGATGCACCCAGTTTTTGGAGGAGGAAAACAAGAAAAAATAATATTCCGAATCTCAGAAGCCAGAACAGCAAGAGGGATCGCTGTTCTGGCTTCTGGGATAGCTGTGCAGCTGTGCAGTAGCTGCGCAGCCTGTATTCGCTCCATAAGACGCACACACATTTCCCCTTACTTTTTGGGAGGGCAAAAGTGAGTCTTCTAGAGCAAAACATATGGTAACTTTAGCCCCTGCAGTGAGCAAGAAGTCCCCAGTCTCGATTAAGCTCTAAAGCAGGGGTCAGCAAACTTTTTTCAGCAGGGGGCCGGTCCACTGTCCCTCAGACCTTGTGGGGGGCCGGACTATATTTTTTTGGTGGGGAATGAATGAATTCCTATCCTCCACAAATTACCCAGAGATGCATTTTAAATAAAAGGGCACATTCTACTCATGTAAAAACACACTGATTCCCAGACTGTCTGCGGGCCAGATTTAGAAGGCGATTGGGCCGGATCCATCCCCTGGGCCTTAGTTTGCCTACTCATGCTCTGAGGTATCAAAGCACACATGCTGATAAGTTTTAGGTTGGGAACGTTGAGCTGGAATCTCCCTTTGAAGAATGTGTATGAACTTTCAGGGAAGCAGCAGACTGATGGGAGCAGGCTCCCGCTCACAAGAGCTTATTCTGCAACAATCTTTAAACTTCAAAGGTCACCCACTTTCCTACCTGGAGATACCGGGGTTTGAACCGGGGACCTTCCTGCTTGCAAGGCAAACACTCTACCACTGAGCTATGGCTCTGGATAGGACTATAAGGTCGGAGCCAGCATTTATTTTGCTGGCATGTTCTTCTGATGGTTCAAGTTGAGAAGGAGCTCTTGAAGCATGTCTGGAGAGCTCACAAAGAACCCCCTTTATCTTAAATGCAGGACAAATATTAACCATCCTGTCTGGTTATCCTCTCCAAGAAGAGGAAGTTGGACCCGATGGGTCTCTGATCCATACATTAGTTCTGTCTTTGGCCACACCTAACAACAGCCACAATCGGGACGCGGGTGGCGCTGTGGGTTAAAGCCTCAGCACCTAGGACTTGCCGATCGAAAGGTCGACGGTTCGAATCCCCGTGGCGGGGTGCGCTCCCGTCGCTCGGTCCCAGCGCCTGCCAACCTAGCAGTTCAAAAGCACCCTCGGGTGCAAGTAGATAAATAGGGACCGCTTACCAGCGGGAAGGTAAACGGTGTTCCGTGTGCTGCGCTGGCTCGCCAGATGCAGCTTGTCACGCTGGCCACGTGACCCGGAAGTGTCTGCGGACAGCGCTGGCTGCCGGCCTATAGAGTGAGATGAGCACACAACCCTAGAGTCTGTCAAGACTGGCCCGTACGGGCAGGGGTACCTTTACCTTTACCTTTAACAACAGCCACTACTTACATCAGAACTCTGCGCTCCGGCCCAAATTCAGCTTCATAGAAACCATTTTCGCAGTCTTTTCCAACCAGCCGATGGGGGTGAGGTCTGTATGGCTCGTTCTTGGTCACCAACGTTATTCTGATTTTTATTTTCCCAAAGTAGTTGAACACCTGCAAAGGAAAGAGGGGGGGGGGAGAGCCCATCAACCTTTTGCTTTTTGTCAGACATGGAGAGGAATTGTCACGTTCAAGGCGTAACCAGCTGCCCTGGTTACAAGAAGGTTCTATTTCAATATGCTGGTTTTAACCTTTAAAGTCCTTCACAAACTCAGGCAGCAAGGAAACGCTGACATGGCAACAGGTAAACGCTGAAAGCGGGGCCTTTGCAACTTTGGCCCCATAAATATTTTGTTCCCAAGGAACTATAATAGAACCATAAAATTGCAGAGTTGGAAGGGATCCTGAGAATCATCCCTTGAATGCAGGAATATGCAGCTGCCCCATACAGGGATCGAACCTGCAACCTTGGTGTTATCATCACCACACTCTTATGGGATTCAAAAGGGATTGTCAAACCTGGTAGCTAGTCTTCTTGCTATGACTTTTGAAAAACATTCTAATTAGTAATTTGTATTTATTGTTTCGTCTGGTTTTGACCTTTAAAGCCCTATGCGGCCTAGGACCCACGTACTTACTGGACCGCCTCTCCTGGTATGTCCCACGGAAGACCTTAAGGTCCACAAATGACAACATTTTGGAGGTCCCAAGTCGCAAGGTGGTTGGATTGGTCTCAACTAGGGCCAGGGCCTTTTCAGTACTGGCCCCGACTTGGTGTAACGGTCTGTCACAAGAGACTAGGGCCCCGCGGGACTTGAAAACTTTCCGCAGGGCCTGCAAGACAGAGCTGTTCCGCCTGGCCTGTGGTTTGGACTCAGTCTGACCCTTATGTTTTCCTCCCCTTATGGTTTTGATCTATGGGCTACTTTTAAAATGAGGTTGCATTTTAAATTGGATTTTAACCTGTATTTTAAATTGGTTTTTTTTCGCTATTATGTTTTTACTGTAATTTTACTGGTGTTAGCTGCCCTGAGGCCGGCTCTGGGTGGGGTATAAATAAATTATTTTATTTTTATTTTTATTTTTATTTTTATTATTACTGCTTAGGGCAAGCATCTTATAAACAGCTAAAACATATGAACAAATAAACAGCAGTACACAAGCAACTGAGGAGGCCAAATTACAGGTGCCACTGAACATGTGGATAAATATCACATGTATTTTCTTCCAACGAACAGGAGAGCTGCCATTTCTGCTGGTTCCGCTTTTAAGCTCTCACTTTCCTGCCTGCTGCAGTCCTGCAGTTTGGCCATCTTAAATGCGGGACAAATAGAAGCAGAGTTCGAAGGGACCCCAAGGGTCATCTAGTCCAACCCCTGCAATTTAGGAATCCTGCCCACAGACATCTTTGGATGGGCTCGAACCACCAGCCTTCTGGCTAACAGCCAGAGGCGACAGTGAGTGGAGAAATGAATGTGAATTTTGTATGTGTACAGTAGAGTATCTTCCACAAACATCTACAGACTCTTTTTCGAGCTTCTATCCAGGCAGGCAAGACCCATGACCAGAGTTCAAGGACACATTCCAGCCAGGCGAAAACACTAATGGAGCTTGAAGGATGTGGCCTGGGGAGAGAGCATGTGTCCAGGGAGGAGGAATGGCCAAGTGAGAGTCCTGGGGGCCAGATGGAGCAGCATGTAGGGCTGCCTTTGGCCCCCAGGCTGAGCTTGCCCACCTGTGTCCTAGAGATCAACTTGGGGCACTTCCAATCACATACCGGTGACTTCAGAGTGCCCGAGTATAGTTGATTAGGACAGTGTTTCCCAACCGGTGTTCCGCGGCACACTAGTGTGCCGCCGGACGTTGCCTAGTGTGCCGTGGGAGCAGTGGCGTAGCGTGGGGGGTGCCAGGGGTGCCGGCCGCACCGGGCGCAACATCTGCGGGGGGCGCGAGTCCAGAGGGAAGGGACAAGTTCCTTCCTCCGCCGAGCTCCCCACCGCCACCGCCAGCCTTGCGCCCTAGCACGCGCGCGCCCCCCACCGCCGCTGCGGCTGCGCTCCGCAGACTGGCCGTTTTATTTGGCTTTGAAAGCCCAACAGCTGCAAATCAGGCGCTCTCCCCCGACCCGCGCCCAGCGCCTCTCCCCTTTCTCTCCCGCTTCTCCCTTTCCCAAGGAATCCGAGAAGACCTGCGTTTAATGAAACGTGAAGTGTGAAAACTTCCTGAGCTGCAGAGGCGACTCCTTAATGATGTTCCCAGATGTGGCGGGGCTGGAGAATGGGGTGAAGGCGCACAGAGGCGCCTGCCGGAGAGGGAGAACCTCACCTTGCCGCGGGCACCGCTAGGGCCCGGGTAATGGGGGGAAAAGAGCTCTCCAAGCCGCGCGTAATTACGCACCGCAGAGATTCTGCCCTTGCGATGGGCGGCTTCCACCTCGCTCTGGAAAACAACCCGTCCTTGTTATCTTCTTTTTTAAAAAAATTATTATTTCTTTTCGCGCTGGGGACTTGTTTCATGGGGCTGAGGGGAGGGGAAGAGTCCGATCACTTGTTTAGAAAACGAAAAAGCGGGGTGGGGGGGAGGGAAGAGGGCTGCCAGCACCTCCGAGCTATTCCGGTGAAATTCAATTTGCACTGAATTCTAAAGATCCTCTCGCTGATTCTCTTCCAGGCTGTTACGCGCCGCAAAGACAGCTTGGAGAAACAGCCCACAAGGCAAAGCTGAAACTCCTTCCCTACCACAAAAATACTTTGTATTGGACTTTGTGGTTGGAAATAATTTCACTTTTTTAAAAAAGGAAAGAGAGGGAAAAAAGCGAGGGATGGAGGAAGGGGAATAAACAGAAGGGGAGGACAATGAAGAGGGGCGGGGCTTGGCAGGCAGCAGATAACTGGGGAGGGGGGCGCGGCTGGCGGCGGCTCAAGGCAGGAAGGGAGGAGCTGCCTCGCGGAGAGTCTTGAGCTGCAGAGATTTCCCGTTCAGGAGCGCGGGAGGCCACGCCGTGGATGGGATTCTCCTCCTCCTCTTCCTCCTCCTCCTCCAGGAGAGAGGGTGGTCCGCCCCACCGAGTCGGGCCTGCTCAAGCGTGGGAGCCTATAGTTAGAGCTCAGCTCCTTTTCTTGCCTTCCCCGCCCCCCCACGGAGCACATTTTCCTCGCCCCCCCCCAACCCCCGCATGTATTTGCCCTCCAGCCTCCACGGTGCACAAACTCTCCCCTCTGCAACAAAGCGCTTTGTTGCATATCTTTGGTGAGGTTTTTAGGCAGTCTTGGTGCACCTTAAATCAGCGCTAATTGCGCCTGGACGCAGTATTTACTTCCGAGTAGGCCCCCTTCTCCCCCCCCCCAGCACCTGATGTTGCTATTCGTATCATCAGGTTTGTTTGTTGATAATTTAATTGTTTTAAAAGCATCATGCTAAAGAGCTCTCTCCCACCCCCAGACCCTTGGGCAAAACAGAAACACACACATACACAAACACAGAGATTGAGCCCTGCAGGTTTTATGAAATGAATGGATTCTGAATGCCTGTTTCAGTGGCTTGTCCGCCTTAGGCTGCTGGGCCAGACACCTGTTACACGGTGCAGTCCGTAAGCTGTGAGCGCTGCTACCTGCCGCCGAGACCACGTAACGACAGTCTTGAAAGACCTACATTGGCTCCCAGTACCTTTCCGAGCACAATTCAAAGTGTTGGTGCTGACCTTTAAAGCCCTAAGCGGTTTCGGTCCAGTATACCTGAAGTAGCGTCTCCGCCACCATCGTTCAGCCCAGACACTGAGATCCAGTGCCAAGGGCCTTCTGGCAATTCCCTCACTGTGAAAAGTGAGGTTACAGGGAACCAGGCAGAGGGCCTTCTTGGTAGTGGCGCCCGCCCTGTGGAATGCCCTCCCATCAGACATCAAAGAGATAACCATTACCTTCTATGCTGTTACTATTTTTTATTTTTTTTTACATAAGTAAAAAGTGACCTTTCCCCATCTGGCATGGTGGTGTGCCTCGAGATTTTTTCATGAAACAAGTGTGCCTTTGCCCTAAAAAGGTTGGGAAACACTGGATTAGGAGGTGCTGTGTCAAGAAGCCCGCTTCCCCCCTAAAGATCAGAGTTCTTACGATAAGGAAAGTGACAGGAAAATGCACTGGGAAGTTGAGATAGCACTTGCTTTGAGACAGCATCATCTAACCTCCCCATAAGCAAATCAGAATGAAGGTTCAATAAGCAGGTGGTCTGGAAGGGCTCTTCTCCTGCAGTGCTATACCTAAGAGCGGTTTGACAGTGGAGCAGACTTCCTCAGGAGGCTGTGGACTCCCCTGGAGGTTTCTTAAGCAGAGGTTGGATGGTCACCTGTCATGTATGATCTAGTTGAGATTCCTGCATTGTAGGGTGTTGGACCCTCGGAGTTCCATCCAACTCAATAATTCCATGATTCTATTATTCTACTTCAGGCACAGGCAAACTCGGCCCTGTTTTGGGACTACAACTCCCATCATCCCTAGCTAACAGGACCAGTAGACAGGGATGATGGGAGTTGTAGTCCCAAAATATCTGGAGGGCTGAGTTTGCCTATGCCTGTTCTACTTACTTACTGAATTCATTGGCCCTTACTTCCAAGTAGACATGCATATAATTTGGCTGTTAGTGGCCTTTAGAGCCTTACTCCCATGTGCCCACTCAACCACTTTGATTGGCAGAACTGGCAGGTGCCACGTAATATCCGTTCTGCATTTGTAAGCATTTGATCATATAGTGTGGCATCATCGATTCTTACACTTTGGGACCTGTGTCTGTTGATATCAGGAAAGCCCCTTCGTTGCAATATTTTCAGCACCTGCTAAAATATTTTTGTTTAGACAAGCCTACTCAGATGCTTAGGAAGTTGAGGTAATTTTAATCTGTTTTAGTAGTTTAACTTTCTTATGTTTTAAAGTGTTGTTGCACACGCCACGCCCCCCATTTTATTGCATTATCTATTTTGTAAAACAATTTGAGGGTTGTTTCTTTCTTTCTTTGTTTTACAATCAAGCAAAATATGAAATAAGTAAATAAGTAAGTAAATGAAACAATAAGCATTTGCCTCTTGGGCAAAACAACTCCTGGTTCCTTTTTAAAAGAAGGGAAAGACAGAAACACAATAACGAAGAGGAATACCTGTATTGCCGGGAAAGTCCGATTCATATCGCTGCTGTGTTCTCCCGGAATGCTTCCTGCTGATCTCCCCTCACATTTGTACCGGAAGCGCATCCCTCTCTGTCTAGGCTGCTCACATATTTCAATGTATGGTTCATGACCATCTTTGGAAAGAAAGAAAACAGTGCAACGTTTTATTTTTTTAAAAAGGTAAAGCATTCCCTTACAGCAGGCAGAAAAGTCTACAAACAGGGGATGTAGGAATCAGGTCTCTCTCCCGTTGCAAATTCTGCAATATGCATTTTCATACACCTATTTATACCCGTAGAGCAGTGTTTCTCAAACTTGGGTCCTCAGACCACAATTCCCATCATCCCTGACCACTGGTCCCACTAGCTAGGGATGATGGGAGTTGTAGTCCAACAATAGCCGGGGACCCAGTACAGAGAAAAACGTGTCCTTTTGCTTTATACTGGGTAAAGCCACTGGTCCCTATAGCTCAGTGTTGTTCACATTGACTTGCAGAAGCACCCCAGGGCTTCAAGAAGGGGTCCTCTCACAGTCCTACTTGGAGATGTCAAGGGGTTGAATCTGGAAACTTCCGTACTCTGCCACAGTTATCACAGCCCTTTGCTTAGTTGCGGATAAGCCAGAAAACTCCTCTGATCTTAGAAATCAGGACTGATAGGATTAATTAAGACTGTCTGAACAGGTGCTTCTCTCAACTTTGGAACTATGGTTTAAATAAGGATGATCTGGGAGCACATGATAAATATTTCTCTGTGTTGTTGTTTTTGCTAAGGGGAGCTATGCTAGCTAAGAGTATCTGCGAGTCATGGTTCTCCGAACGGATTGCTGTTTCCCGCAGCCTCACGTGTCATATTGATGTGTAGCCTGAAAGTGGATTTGTGAAGCAAAGTACAAGCGCATGTCAGAAATATATACGGGAAAGTGTGCCTTGTCTCTTCTGAAGCAGAAGCGATGGGAAACACTGTCCATTGTCCCTACTGAGAAACCAGCTCCTCCTCTTTCTGAACTGTTTCTTGCGCTAGCTATTCAATATCAGAACAGCTATGAGAAATTAACAATCGGTAGCTAAGTTTGCTTTTTTCCCCTCTTCTCTCCTCATCTCTTTTTCATTTTATGCTGTGTCTTTTAAATTGTAAACTTGAGGGCAGGGATTGTCTTGTTTTTACCGATCTTATATAAGCCACTGGAAGCCCTTTCATCTAAATAGTGATGTGTGGTGTTGTTGTTTTAAATGCTTTAAACCACAGCAAGTCACACACATATTTCTGCTCATCTTTTGAATATGCAACTTTATTTGTCAGATTATTATTATCATGTGCGTTTATCATATCATGGATTAATTTTATGTGGTTCTGCTTGAGGGAAAACCGGTCTTCTTAAAAAATATATATGTTAAAACCAAAAACCAGTCCCGTCATTAGGAAGGAATGGCTTGATTGAGGCTAGCTGGATTAATGAAATTCAAAAATCAGCTTTTATTATACAGCCACAGACCTGATACAAGCAAATCAAAATCGTTAATAGAATTGTCTCATCCAGCTGCTGCATTGCTGCTTAAAAACTCTGTCTTTTTGGCCTAAAATCAAGAGGCAGAGGGAGAGAGAGAGAGAGAGAGAGAGAGAGAGAGAGAAGGTGGGAGAGAAAGTTATTTGGTTTCTCATCCTGATGATGACATCACCTGCACTTCACTAAGTCAAGAACCAACTTCTTTCCAACCACTTGATCTGTGGTTGGAAATTAATATCACCAACAGTGTATATTATGTGCCATAGCAGAACTCAGTGTTCAAAGACGCAGTCCAAAGGCATAGCTCAGTTGGTAGAGATTGAGACTCTTAATTTCAGGGTTGTGGGTTTGAGTCTCACGCTGGGCAAAAGATTCCTGCGTCGAAAGGGTTTGACCCCCTTCCAACTCTATAATTCTATGTTCAAATTCATATTTACTTTGAAAAAAGAAATCTGTGCTTTCCCCGTTTTCTTCAGGACACGGTCACCAACAGAGCAACTAGCAGAGCCCTATGCATGCAGCCTGTTAAGGCCAAATTTATACATTTCAGCAGAATCCAGTGATAAGGTACTGCACTACACCACTTAAGCTGCAGACCTAGGAAAGCAACCCACCAGGGAGGGGCAGAAGTTTTAAGGGCTGGGGTAGATTCTGTTTGAATAGGCATACCTATCTAATTCACATTTTCTGAAACAGTAAGGGACTCCTGACCATTAGGTCCAGTCGTGGCCGACTCTGGGGTTGCGGCGCTCATCTCGCTTTATTGGCTGAGGGAGCCGGCGTACAGCTTCCGGGTCATGTGGCCAGCATGACTAAGCCACTTCTGGAGAAACCAGAGCAGCGCATGGAAACGCCCCTTACCTTCCCGCCGGAGTGGTACCTATTTATCTACTTGCACTTTGATGTGCTTTCAAACTACTATGCAAAATGAACAACATTTGCATTTTTTCGTGTTTGGCACTGAAATCTCCCAACCAAGTAAGGTGTACACAAAATGCACCATGGTAGGGCAAAGTGATCATCAACCGACAGGCATATTGGTGAAAATAACATACAGAAACACATTCTGTCTGGGGAAGTTGATTTGCAGAAACGTGAAAATCAGGCGAAACCTCACACATATATGTAAATTGGGAGAACTTCCCACCAAGTTTCAGAGCAAAAAGAAAATCACAAACCGATGTGGAGAATGGAACTTAATACTGGATCAATGAAAAATGGAGAAGCTTTTTTCTATTGCACAACCCTAGTGCTGAACGCTTGGAATTCACATGTCTGAAGCAAAGACAGCTTTACTTCAGAGTATTTTGGAAACTTCCCCTTCTTTATCAATGTAACCATTACAAAGGGGCAATTAGCTAGAAGCATATGGCTTTACTAGGAAGTTAGAAACTTCCCCTATTGTTTGAAAAGGGGGGGGGACACCCTCCCATAACAGGCCGCTAACCAGCTTAAAATATATTGTCTGCAGTTGGAGATACACATCTTAATAGCGCTCTAAATCACCCATTCAATTGTCACTCTTCCACAAATCCTGAAATCTGGTAGCTCTTTACTTGAATAAGCAGATTATACATGCACCCGGAACAAGTTCAATACAGGTTTGGTTACATTTTTGGAGTTCCTTTGTAACTGACTGCTAATTAGTGCCAGGAATACCGAAATGAACCTTTATGCAATGAACCTTTATACAAGTCCTCTGAGGCACAGATTCTAAACAAAGTTGCTTGAAGATATGCATTTTGATGTGACATTTCCCAAAAATGTGTTCATTAGCATTTTTTTTTGTTTTTTAGAGGTTTTATTGTAAGGTGCTTAAACTGAGATACTTGTTTAATGTGTAGATATTTGGGAACTATGCTGGCCTATGACCATAATAAAGATTTGGATTGGATTGGATATTTGGGAAGGGGTTTAAGAGGGGCAGGGAATTAGTATCCACCCTATATAAATACATCAATCTTCCTAAATAAAAATTTCCTAAGGCGCTGAATTGTACCTCCAACTATTACTGGCTTTCCAGACCATGATGAGGAAATGGAAAAACAAGGTCAAAGCAACAGCTCAAAGTACCAAAACATCAGCAGAAACAATGAACAGCTTCAGGCAAACAAATTTGTACGGCAAAGGCTGTAGCTCAGCGGCAGAGCTCATGTACCTGTACTCAGAAGGTCACAGGTTTGATCCCTGGCATTTCCAGCTCAAAGGACCAGGCGCAAAGGTGATGGGGAAGGTGATGGCTGAGATCCTGGACAGATGCTGAGTAGACAATACTGAGCTAGAAAGACAACAGTCTGACATTTAAGGCAGCCTCCCATGGTATCTAGACAACTGAATCGCTCAGTATTGTCTACACTGACTGGCTGCAGTTCTCCAGGATGTCTGATGGTGGCCTTCTCCCAGTCCTACCTGGAGATGCTGGGGATTGAACCTGAGACCTTCTGCATGCAAAGCAGGTGTTCTACCATTCAGCTATGGAGCATAGCTGTCAACTTACAGATTTGAAAATAAGGGACCAGCAGCCTTGAAAATAAGCGATCAGCAGCCAAAATAAGGGATTTTCAGAGCACAGCTATGTTCAACTTCTGAGCCCCTCCGAGCCAAAGGCAGAAAGCCCAGCCAGCAGCCAAACAAAGCCTCAAGCAGTGGTTCCCACAGCGCAGCAACCCGGCAAAGGGGATGCAGCAAGGAAAACCACCGTCCCCTCTCCACTGGGAAGCGCTGAGCAAAGGCGAGTCCCCAGGCAACGCGGCCGATTTGATCGGCACAAGGCATGCAAGCTCCACCCCCCCAGTCGTTCTTAGACTCCTTATTGGGTGAGCAACGCAGCCAAGCAACACAGTTGGAGCCTCCCTGGCTGGCAGGCAGGGAGGGAGAGGAGCTGCTTCCTTTGAAACCTGGGAAATTTAAGGATCATCATCAATAAGGGACAGCAGCGGGACACAGCGCTGGCATAAGGGACTTTTCCTCCAAATAAGGGACAGTTGACAGCTATGCTATGGAGAGAGTGGTGGTGCTCAGCACAATGAAGAGATGCAGAAAGGGACAGCAGTGTCCCTGATGCAGCAATGTTTATACTTGAGTGGAGTCATTTACCATCTATCCTGTAATGCAGCAAGGGGTTTAACGGTGTGGTGGTGACAACAAAGCTTCTGGCTGTGATTGGCTAAACCAACCTTCTGTCGAGGAAGCTGGGGCTGAACTGATTTGGTTCTTAAGATCTAGCTGTGCTTTTTGACCTCTGTCTGCCCCTGGGCTGCCTCCTGGAGTTCCTCTATTCCTAGCTAGCAGAATGGTGGAAACTGTAGTCCAAAAACAGCTGGAGACCCAGGTTTGGGAAACCCTGCTCTAGGAACTAGGTTGAACAGAGAGTGGCAGGTGTAAAACGGGGAGTGTTGCAAGCTAGCCTTGCTGTCAATGCAGCTCCACACTTACAGTATCTTATTTAATGGAGTTACCACCCTTTGGCCTCCTAGGAAGGACGTGATGGCAAAACATGATGGAGCCCAGGCTGGTCCCATTTTGGGCCAGAGCAGGAACAACTGCAGGGAGCTTGATTCCCTTCCTCCCTGCCATGAACATAGCTGTCAACGTTTCCCTTTTTTAAAGGGAAATTCCCTTAT